CACATTCCAGATGTCCCAACCGGTTCCACCCAGCCCGCCTGACCGTTGATGGTCAGCTGCAGTCAGCCACGACCCGCGACCATACAAACCAACCAATCCCAAACACCCCCGTACCCAGTAGGAGAAATTACCCAATCATGTGCAAACAAGTTTAAAGTTCTTTCCCCTCCCTTGTAACTGTGTATATAAGCTGCTTGCTGCACTGGGTCGGGGCTCTTGTTCCTGTACCGCTGCGCTGGTTACGGATGTGAGCCCAGACTCGAGCCTGAATAAAGACCCTCGTGTGATTTGCATTGGAGCTGGCTCTTTGGTGGTCTCTCTGATTCAGGATTCGGGTACAACAATATAAAGCTGTCAGTCCAGACAGTGTCCTAATGTCTCTCCCCTGGTAAAGTTCACTGCCTACCCTGCCTCAGGAATTACTCTGATTTTTTTCCACTGTGATTTAGAGCAGCATATAAATAGGATCATTTTGTGCAAGGTTTCTTTACTCAGCATTAAGTTTTTGAGATTCCTATCAGACATTTCATGGATCAATAGTTAATTCCTTTTTATTGTTGAGTGGTTACTGTATCACAGTTTGTTTATCCATTCTCCCATGGATTGGGCTATTTACAGTTGAAATATTATGTATAAGGCTGCTATGAACATTCCTAGATACATTTTTGGGATATATTTCTCGTGGGTAAGAATGGAATTACTGGGTCACAGGTTAGGTGTATGTTTAGTTTTGTGAGAAACCTTCAGACCTATTTCCCAAATGCTTGTTCTATTTTCCATTCTAATCAGTGAGCATTCGGTTGTTCCAAATCCTCACCACGTATTGTCATTCTTTTAAAGTTCTAGCCATTCTGGGGGCAGTGTAGTGATATTTCATTGTAGTTTTAATTTGCATTTCCCTGATGACTAATGATATTGAATTCTTTTTTTTTATTTTTTATTTTTTTGAGTTGGAGTCTCACTCTGTCGCCCAGACTGGAGTGCAGTGGCCGCTCCCGGCCACCGCAGCCTCGACCTGCTGGGCTCTGGCAATCCTTCCGCCTCAGCCTTCCAAGTAGCCGGAATTATAGGTGCGCGCTACCACGCCCAGCTGATTTTTTTATTTATTGTAGAGATGAGGTCTCGCTGTCCAGGCGGGTCTTGAACCCGCGGGCTCAGGCAATCCACTCACCTCAGCCTCCCAAAGGCGCGGGATTACAGGCTGAGCCACCGAACTCGGCAATATTGAATTCTTTAATTATCTTCCACTATTCAGATCTTTGCCCATTTTCAACTGTTATCTTTTTGAGTTATAGGAGTTTTATATTCTAGATACCTTTCCTTTTCAGATATATGTTTTACAAATATTTTATTGCAGTCTCTAATTTGCCTATTTATGTGTGTGTATATATATATATATTTTTTTTTTTTTTTTTTTGAGTTGGAGTCTCACTCTGTCACCCAGACTGGAGTGCAGTGGCTGCTCCTGGCCACCGCAGCCTCCACCTGCTGGGCTCCAGTGATCCTTTTGCCTCAGCCTTCCAAGCAGCTGGAACTACAGGCGCATGCTACCACGCCTGGCTAATTTTTGATTTATTGTAGAGATGAGGTCTCGCCAAGTTGCCCAGGCAGGTCTCGAACCCGCGGGCTCAGGCAATCCATTCACCTCAGCCTCCCAAAGGCACGGAATTACAGGCTGAGCCACTGAGCCCAGCTTACCTATTTATATTTAAATGGTATCTTTTGATGAGCAAAAGTTTTAAATTTTGATGAAGTCTAATTTGTCAATTTTTCCTTTCCTAGTTATTGTTTTCTGTGTCCTATCTAAAAACCCTTTGCTTACTCTCAAGTCATAAAGATATTCTCCTCTGTGTTTCCCTAGAAGCTTTATAGCTTTAACCTTTATGTTGGGGTCCATGATCTATCTCAAATTAATGAGAAGTGGAGGTCAGGGCTTCTTTTTATTGAATGAGAATGTCCAGTTGTTCCAGCACTGTTGAAAAGACTTTGCTTTTCCTACTGTACTGCTTGGCCCCCTTGTCAGAGTCAATTGGATATACAAGTCTATGTTTCCACCCTCTATTTGGACCCTTGGGCTATTTGTCTATACCAGTACCACACTGCTGTCTTGATTACTGTAGCTTTACAGTAAGTTTGGAAGTCAGGTCGTATTGATTCTCCAACTCTTCCTTTTTTTTTTTTTTTTTTTTTGAGTTAGAGTCTCACTCTGTCACCTAAGCTGGAGTACAGTAGTATGATCATGGCTCACCACAACCTCAACCTCCCGGGCTCAGGCGATCCTTCCACCTCAGTCTCTGGAGTAGCTAAGACTACAGGTACACACCACTGCACCCAGCCACTTTTTCTATTTTTTGAAGAGATGAGGTCTCACTATGTTACTTAGGCTGGTCTCGAACTCCTGGGAACAAGCGATCCTCCCTCCTTGGTCTCCCAAAGTTCTAGAGTTTACAGGCATGAGTCATTGCACCCAGCCAATTCTCTTCTTTTTCAAGATTGCTTTGGATATTTTACGTCCTTCAGTTTTCCATAGAAATTTGAGAACCAGATTGTCAATTTCTAAGGAAAAAAAACCTATTGCGATTATAGTTGGGATTAAATTGAATCTATAGATAAAATCAGAGCAAATTGACATCTTAGCAGTATTGATTCTCCCAATCCATGAACATGGAATGTCTTTCTACTTATATAGGTCTTGTTTAATTTCTCTTAGCAGTGTTTTATGTCTTCAGTATACACATCTTGCTTATCTTTCATTTAATTTACTTTTAAGCATGTAATGGTTATTCTATTGTAAATAAGTTATTCTTTTCAATTTTCCAAATGTTAGCTCCATTATATGATTAACTTCTGTGATATGTGTATTTGTTCAGCATTTGGAGGTCAGGGCTTCTTGCTCAGCATTTGGATTCTTTTTTTTTTTTTTTAAACCAGTAGCTCAAGCCTGTAATTCCAGCACTTTGGGAGGCTGAGGCAAGAGAATTGCCTGAGACCAGAGGTTTGAGACCAACCTGACCAACTTGGCAAGACCTCGTCTCTACAATAAATTTAAAAATTAGACAGGTGTGGTGGCTTGTGCCTGTAGTTCCAGCTACTTGGAAAGCTGAGGTGGAAGGATCACCTGAGCCCAGCAGGTCAGCTGCAGTGGCCATGAGCAAGCTACTACACTCCAGCCTGGGTGACAGAGTGAGACTCCATCTAAAAAAAAAACAAAAACAACAAAAACCCAAGTCAAAGCCTATTTTATTCATCTGTTCAGGGAGGCATCAGGAAGAAGGGGTGGATTTAGCCCCAGACTGAGATGTGGGAGACCAAACTCCAGTCCCACTGTGCCTCTATGAGCTATGTGAACTTGACCAAGGTTGACAGTGTCAAAACCAACATAAAAATATTGAGATGAACTTTTAAATCTAATGCTACATTTGGGATATAAGAATTGTAATTTGGGGCATATATATATAGACTGAATGGTTTTTGGTATGTTTGAAGAATAAAGGAGGTCGGGGGGTTTATAAAAAGAGAAATATTATGTTTTGAGAAAGTTTATTGGTATTAGGAAGCTTGGAGGAAGTTGGCAAGTTTTGATTGGTGAGTGATGGTGGTGGGTAAAGCTAGTTTTAGAGTTACAATAGGTTGTTTTAGTAATTATTATATAAAATAGCTTTAGTTGATAGTAGGCAGTTTTAGTAGTCAGACACACAGAGAATTATATTTGAGGAGTAAATGTAGTGTACTCCAAGTGCTTTTTCTCTTGGGCTTCTGAACTCTATTGTAGTTGAGTATGTCAAGTATGCCAATTCCTGGCTGGGCATGATGGCTCACGTCTGTAATCCCAGCACTTTGGGAGGCTGAGAAGGGAGGATAACTTAAGGCCAGGAATTTGAGACCAGCCTGGACAACATAGACAGACCCCATCTCTACAGAAAAACATTTAAAAATTAAAGATAACCCAATTTATATGATTAACTTTCACAATAGAATTCTCTCCCTATTTTTTGCTATTACTCAACACAAATAGAATCTAACTCCTTATTTACTGCAATCTTCTGTAATATCTTTCAAGATAAAGCTTTTAACTCTAGTTCACAAACCTCTTTTGAAATCTGGCTGAAACCTTGAATTTACTTCCAGAAAAATTTATCACAGTTTTGTGTATAATTTTAGAATGTTCAGGGAACTTCAGCCTGTTTGCCAGACTTTTGGGACCCACAGATCCTATCTGTGAAACCCATTCTAGAGCAGAGGCTCACAGAGAGTTGGACTACCTTCCCTTACCTCTGTATCTGCAGCACCAACATGCTCAGCCTATCATGGCCGCTCAGAAAACGCCCTATGCACTTATTGAATGGCCCAGAGTGCTACATTGTGGCCTCCTGCAATACTGGCCTCTCCTTCCAAGTTGCTTCAGGTGTTCAGCTGACCTGGGACACCCCTACACTGGTGGACCAGTGCATTCGGAGGCCCAGAGATTCAGGGGTTTGCCCACGATCATTACAGAGCACATTTGTGCAGGGGCAGGTATGGGGTAAAGGCTGCCAAGTTCCAAATCCCTTGCCCTTTGTGGGGTTTTATGGGCAGAGAGGGGCTTGAGACAGTGTGTAGATTTCCCACTCCTGAGATTTGACCTTTCCTCCACCACTGGCTACTCTACCCTTCGAGCCCTACTCCTCTGCTGCTGTCAGTGAGGTCAGCCTAACAGCCCCCCAGCAGGCAAGCTGTCCCTGGTGCCCTGGAACAGCTCCAGGTGGCAATCTTGCTGCAGAATCTTCCAAGCTATGCTCAGCTGTCTGGTGCCTTCACAGGCAGCCAGCTTTGCACTAGCCCCAAGGCAGTGCAGCTGCAGGTCCCCAAGGTGGCCAGGACAGCAGCATTTCAGGGCTGCCTTTCTCTTCCTACAGCCCCCAGAATTGTGTTACAGAAAGTCATTGCTCCGCTGCTTTCCATGATGACTCCCAAGAGCACACCAGCAGTGACAGTGATGCTATGTGTTTCTGCCCACGCAGGTGCCGGGGACATGGGCAGCAAACCATCCACGCCAGGCGATGACTCCACCGTGCGGTCCCCCAGGACAGAAGGCATCCACACTGCATACAAGCAGGGAGACCACAGCAGGGCCCAAACCCTGCTAAGAGAAGCTTGCGACGAGAGCACATCCCAACTGGAAAAGGTAGGGTGAATGCCACCCCTCCAGTCATAGCTGCAGTCCTGAGTTGGATGAAGGATACTGCTCAGATTATTATTTCTTGCTACTGCCGTAATTGTAATGAACATTTTTACTGTGTTGTATTTTCCATGTAAAACTGTGGCCATTCCTTTCAAGTTGACTTCTCAATCTGACATCGCCTAAGTAGGCCCTTTGCTACCTTTTCATGTGAGGCCTTTGAGGGGCAGGAGTGGGGTCACTAAGTATAAAGAACAAAATGTCACCTGAAGGTTTAACCTACTGTATTGTTTACTCTTTTTGTCATTATCAAAATAGCACATACTCAAAGAAGATAATTTAGAAAACCTATCAAAGTAAGGAAAAAAGAGCTAAAAAGTTACCATGGCCAGGCACGGTGGCTCACACCTGTAATCCCAGCACTTTGGGAGACTGAAACAAGAGGATTGCTTGAGCCCAGGAGTTCGAGACCAGCCTGAACAATATAGCGAGACCTTGTCTCTACAGAAAAATAAAAAAATTAGCTGAGCATGGTTGCCTGTGCCTGTAGTCCCAGCTACTCAGGAGGCTGAGGAGGGTAGATCCCTTCAGTCCTGGAGTTCGAGACTGCGGTAAGCCATGATCATGCCACTGCACTCTAGTCTGGGTGACAGAGTGAGATCCTGACTCAAAAAAAAAAAAAAAGAGTTAGCATACTCCTAATATATCCGAATAATCCCACTTAACAGTTTTGGTGTATTTTCTGACAGTCCACTGATCTGAACACATGTTGTTTCTACAATAGATATAGTCATATTTTATATATAGTTTTCCATCTACTGCTAGTTCTTATATAATATTCTATTAATAATTTTTCTTATGATTATAAATTCCTCATAAGCATCCCCTTCAGTGGCTACATGTCATTCCATCTGATAGAGGGACTATGATTTACCTGGTTGTTCTTCTGGGTTGGATATTTGGATTATTTCTCATTTCTTACAAATATATTGAATGTTTTTTCCCAATTCTTACTGCAAGGCTGTTTTCTTAGCATAGATTTGCAGACTATGGGGATGAGCATTTTAAAAGTTTTGAAACGCATGACAACTGTTCTCCAGGAAGCTTGTAAAAAGTAACCCCTCCACGACACTAGAGAGAGCCATTGCCACAGTCTTGCCCTTGTGGGGAATTCTTACTGGCTGTTATCATAGAAACACTTTACTGATGTTTTTTGCATCATTTTGATTAGCAGATTTAACTGGTCTCTATTTAATTATTAGTTGGAAATAATTCCATTTGTAAACCTTTAGCCTGTTTTCAGAAATGTAAGCGATTAGAGGGAGGGTCATACAACAACCTGCTTGAGAATTGTTGAGGGGAGAGCATTTGGGATTGCACCAATTATGAATTCATGGCAGGACTGGCAAAGGGCCACCCTTCTGTACCGGTAGTACTAGGCTGTGCACATGAGTAGGTCAAAGCCATGCGCTCCTTGGGTGGACATCAGATGACTTCCAGCAGGGTGGTCTTGTGCACAGCAAACAGAGTTCAGAGTCTGTGCCACATGGCCACACAGGCAGAGGTGGTGGCTCACTTTGGATGGTGAGTTCTCCCATCTAGCTTGGAGCAGAGGATTGAGGCATGTGGTAGCAGCAGGAGATGCTGAAAAGGGAAAGAGGATCAGGACCTGCAGAGCCCAGGATGCTGGATCTTCATCCTGAGGGTGGGAGAGACATTCAAGGGGGTGGTGTGATCATTATGATCATTGATCAAGAACACTCTGGCCAATATTGAATCAAGGAAAATGGAGTATTGGGTGTGGGTCTCTTCTGCCTGGCATTGTGCCCAGGGGCAACTCAGAATCAAGAGGGTTCCTTGAAGACTGCTTCTCCCTTGGATCCAGGACTGGTAAAACTCCAGCTGACTAGACTTTAAGAATACATTGAGGAAAAGGATGGTTAAGTCTGTGTTTTCATAAAAATGTAAAATTTTAGTTTCAAAAATAGACCATAAATAAGAGTCAAGGATTAATGACAAAAGGAGAAGAAATATGACTGATATCCCTAATTGACAAAGTGCTCATGCACTTTGAAATAATAACACTGTCTTCAAAAAGGACAACAGGATATGAACAACAGCAAAATAAACCTAAAGAAAATGGAAAGATGAAATTCTAAAAGTAAGAGCAGAAAGTGGTGAAACAGAAAGTAAAATGTAGAAGTAAAAACAACCAGCAAATCAAAAGTTGGTTCTTTGAAAAGTCTAATAATACTGAAAAATCCCTGGTGAGAGTAATCAAGATAAAAAAGAAATAAATCTATAGGGAATAGAAAAGAGACCTTCACTATAGATTATGCAGACATTAGAAAAGATAATAGAACATTTTATTGACAACAAAGAAAACTCAACTTATCAAAACTAAAACAAAATGAAATATAAAGTGTGAATAGTCTTTTAACCAAAGAAAAAATAAACCAACATTTTAAAACTTTCTGACAAAATAACTTCTAGGTTTATATAGCTTCACTGGTATGTTTTTACCAAATAGAACTGAAAAAAGTGAATACACGTCCCAGTTCCTGAGTCAGGGTAGCACAATCTCATTACCAGAAATGGGTGAGGACAGTACCAGGAATGAAAGTGACAAAAGACATGAAAGGCACGTAGTGCATATACACACACAAAAATAAATTCCAATAGGCTGCACACATGAAAGCTTACTCACTTTTGTTAATAGTTAAATAAAACAAAAATGAAACAGCATGTTTTCACTTATCAGATTAACATCCTAATGTTTGAAAATGATCGGTAGGAAGGCTGTGGGAAATCACCCATCCTTACGCATTGCTGGTAGGAATATAATTTTGTTCAGCCTCTTTGGAAGGCAGTTTGCAAATGTTTGTCAAAATTTAAAATGTCATCATCATTTTTGATCCAGCAAAATGACTACCAGGAACTTAACCCTACCCCGATTTACCTGAAAAAAAAATTGCCAAGGTGTATGCAAAAGGATGTTCATTGAAGCTGTGTTTGCAATAACACAGCCTTGACAACCACCTAACTGTTGCCTCTACAGGAGGAGACTGCTACATAAATCTCAGCACTCCAATAAGACAAAATAATCTCTAACAGCTGTTTGGGAAAGATCTTCGATGTAATTTAAATTAATAAGTGAAGGATTTCTGCTTCAGTAAAATGGATGGAAGACAAAGTAGGTATACTTTTCTTTCTTCCACTTACTAAGTGCACATAAAAAATTCTAGGTATTACATATAAAACAGACACAGTTCTGAAAGGTAGATAAAAGAAGGCAGACCAGCTATTGACCTCAGGACTCAAAGAAAACACAGTGGTAAGTTTGGGGGTTTTCTTTTTATCTCATATGTCCCCAGCTAGGGACTGTAGATGCTAAAGAAGCTAACAGCCCACAAACACAAGCTGGCACAGACCAAAAAATGCCCCAAGGAAAGCCTGCCCTCTCTAGCCAAAGCATGAGGAGAGGGGCAGTGAAGCAAGACAGAAAACTCATAAGGCAATAACCAGCCCACTCAGTCAAACACTGTGGAAATATCCCTGCAACCCATCCCTGCCCCTCCTCAATAAAGGCCAGTTGGAGAGCCAAGACTTCCACCCTTGTCAGCTCTAACTAGGTACCCCTGTCATCCTCACCCCAAGGTATCAGAGAAGGCCATGAGGAGTGGGGGATGTTAACCCCCCTCACCACCACCATTACTGGAGACCACGTGGGGAGCCTGGACTTCTATCCCCATATGGCCTGGCGGTCATGAGACCCTCTTCCTCCTCCCAGCTATGGCAGAATTGAAGCAGGCCAGTAGGGAAACCTGAAATCCTACTGCTGCCCAGCAATAAACTCCTCACTGAGTGTCAACTGATTCTGAATAAAGCCCTTGGATTTCTGCCCATCCAGGCAATATTGAAGTAGCACCTCTGTTTGTACACCAAAGTAGAGTTGGAGGAGGCTAATCCAAGATTTAAATATGATCTAGAGTCTTAAAGCATAATGCCCAAATACCCAGGTCTCCATTAAAAATTACTTATCATATCCAGAACCAGAGATATTTCAAACTCAATGAGATAAGACAACCACCACATGCCAACACACCAGGGTGACTTAGAAGGCAAAATTATCTAGCAAGGATTTTAAGGTTGTCATCATAAAAAAAACTTCAATAAGCAATTATGAATAAACTTGAAACAAATGAAAAAACATAAAGTTTCAGCAACAAAAAAGAAAAATAGAAAAAAACCAAAAGTGTGAGCAAAGAACTAAAAGTCATGAGGAAAGCCAAAAGAAAATTTTAGAACTTAAAAATACTCAAAAACACTATAGATCATCAAAATGGAATTTTAAAAATCCTCAACTCATAGGAAAGCAGTAAAAAAAAGACAAATGAAAAAAAGAGAAAGCAAACAAAACAAGAAAATAACATGGCAGATGTAAGCCTTAAAATATACCTGACTATGTTCAGCATAAATGGTCTAAATACATGAACTTAAAGACAGAAATTGGCAGAGTGGATAAAAAAGCACGAGCAACTAAATGCTGTCTGCAAGAAACTCACTTTAAATATAGTCATATGTGGTTTATTGATGGGAATACAGTCTGAGAAATGCGTGGTTAGTTGATTTCCTAGTTGTGCAAACATCTTAGAGTATACTTACACAAGCCTAGATGGTGTAGTCTACTGCACATCTAGCCTCTATGGTAAAGCCTGTTGTTCCTAGGCTGAAAACCTGCACAGGATGTTACTGTACTGAATACTGGAGACAACTGTAATACAGCGGTATTGATATATGTAAACATATGTAGACATAGAAGAGATACAGTAAAAATGTGGTATGATACAGGTAAAAAAAAAAAAATGGTACACCTGCACAGGGCATTACCTTGCCTGGAGTTTGCAGGAAGCTGTGCTGGATGAGCCAGTGAGTGAGTGTGAGTGAATGTGAAGGCCCAGGACATCACTGGACACTACTGTAGACTACCACAGACATCTTAAAAC